ATTGATACCTGTGTATTCCGCCTGAATGAAAGACCAACTTTTCATACTCAGGGCACAGACATAATCCAATACATGATGATAAAATTTTTGTTCCTGGAGTGTATGCCATCTAGTTATAAAGAACACAGGTAAAGTAAATATGTGTGATTATTAAAATAGAGATAGAAAATATTACAACAATTTGAAGGTTAAAGAAATGGTTATATATATACATAGAAAAAAATCATTATCAATTCAGCCAATGTGGGAAAAATTTGGTAAAATGGTTGAAGCAAACAAACAAAAAAAACCCCAACAAAACTCAAATAAACAGAACCAAAATACTAAAATAGGTGAATCGATTTCTTTGACAATGCTAAATTGAAAGCTGCCGTTGGTTTCTCTTATATTACCAGTGGAAAGCTGGCAGCAAAAAAGAAGTGAGGAACTAGAAAATTCTATTTTAAAAAATAAATCTTTTAGTAAATTGGAGCCCTGGTGGTGCAGTGGTTAAAGCACTTAACTGCTAACCAAAAGGTCAGCAGTTCTAATCCACGAGCCATTCCAAAGAAGAAAGATGCTTTCATAAAGATTACAGCCTTGGAAGCCCTATGGGGCAGCTCTATTCTGTCCTACAGGGTCTCTAGGAGTCAGAATCAACTTGATGGCAATGGGTTTCATAAATTACAGGGGAAAAATAACACAACCCTGTATTATCAAGCAAAAGACCCATTAGTTGGGATAGTTATCTTACTTTCTGTGTGTAAGACTGAGACAGGTACCTATAGTCCTCCACTGTGGTATACAGATGATCTTTGCTGTAATGATCAGGTGAACAGAAAGCCACCAAATTAGTGGACAGCAGCAGTTCTCAAAGTGTGGTTTGAAGATCTCCAACACCCTTTCCCACTGTCTGTGAGGTCAGAACAATTTTAATAATAATACTATGATATTGTTCACCTTCTCACTGCTTGCATTTGCACTGATGATGCAAGGAAAATATGCAATTTTTACATATATTATTCAGTGACATTGATTACATTCTTCATATTGTACAACCATTATCATTATCTTTTTCTGAATTATTTTATCAACATTAATATAAACTCAGTGCCCCCTATGTAACAACTCCACTCCCTTTTACCCCTGCTAAACCCTGGTAGCGTAGTGGTTAAGTTACAGCTGCTAACCAAAAAGTCTGCAGTTTGACTCCACCAGCCGCTCCTTGAGAAACTCTATGGGACAGTTCTACTCTGTCCTGTAGGGTTGCTATGAGTCGGAATCTACTCGACGACAACGGGTTTTTTTGGACCACTAATAAGCTTTGGTTTCTATTTACCTATTTTATATAAGTGAGATCAACAGTATTTGTCCTTCTGTGACAAATAATTTCACTCAGTATAATGTTCTCAAGGTTCATTCATGTTGTGGCATGTATCAGGACTTCATTTCTCTTTATGGCTGAGTAATATTCCATTGTACGCATACACTACATTTTGTTTATCCATTCACCTGTTGATGGACATTTAGGTTGCTTTCACTTCTTGGCTATCACGAATAGTATACTGCAATGAACACTGGTGTACAGGTTTCTGTTTGCATTCTTGCTTTCAATTCTTTTGAGTATATACCTAGGAGGGGAATTGCTGGGTTATACGGTAGTTCTATGTTCAACCATTTGAGGAACCTCCAAACTATTTTCCACAGGAGCTGTACCATTTTGCATTTCCATCAGCAATGGATGGGGGTTCCAGTTTTTCCACATCCTCGCCACACCTGTTATTTTCCATTTTTTTCGATTATAGCCATTCTAACGGAGGTGAAATGTTATCTAATTGTGGTTTTGATTTTCATCTTCCTAATTCGCATCTCCCTATAGGGTCACTATGAGCCAGAATTGACTCTATGGCAATGTTTTTTTTGGTTTAATGGCTAAAGAAATTGAACAAGTTTTCATGTGCTTGTTGGCCATTTATATATTCTCTTTGGTGAAATGTCTATTCAAGTTCTTTGCCCATTTTTTGATTAGGTTATCTTCTTGCTGTTAAGTTGTAGAAGTTTTATGTATATAAAACTTTTTACATATGTTTATATATATGTAGATTTATATATATAAATTTTTATATATGAATACCTATACTTATTTATTTGGATATTTATGTATTTTGGGTGTTAATGATTCTCCCAAATTTTCTCCCAATCTGTAGGTTGTCTGCTTTGTTGATAAAGTCCTTTGAGAACAAAAATATTTAATTTTTATGAGGTACCATTTATTTGTTTTGTAGTTTGCTGCTCATGCAAGTACTTGACTTTTTAATAATGTATGTGATAAAAAGGAGAGTATGCATAAAATACTTCTGCTGCATGCTGAAGTATGATGGTTGCCTCAAGAAAAAGCACTGTGCGATTATCTGTCTTATGAGACCAGCTGTCTGCTTTTTTTATGGAACACAATTTTTACTTGAAAGAACAACTGAAATTCGAATTATGGTTATAAAATCTTAGGTACTAGGTAGACATTTTCTCAAAAAAAATGAAATGAGATTATCACTTAAAAACAGCTAATAATATTTGTTGCCAATGATAAATTTTGAGGTTTCAAGCAAATATGAAAGTTTTGGAAAAATATTTTCAAAGGAAATATTTTACAAAGGAAAATTTTTGATATTTTGAATTGCTGAATTACTTAAGGAGTTATACTTTCCAAAGGATTGTATGAAATCATGCATAGGTTAAAGATCAATTTTAAATGCAAGATGGACCAATGGATTTTAATTTAACAGAGTATGAAGACTTCACTTAAGTTGTTTCAAATTCCACATTTTAAATAACATTTAATGATCTATTACTTGCAAATTTTAGTGTAATACCAAAGAAGAATATTCCCAATTATCTGAAAAGGTTATTAAAATACTCTTATTTTTTTCCAAGGACTTCCTGAAAGGTGCAAGCAGCTAACACCATCAGCTGCTAACTGAAAGGTTAGAGGTTCTAGTGCATCTAGAGATGTCTTGGAAGAAAGGCTTGGTGATCCACTTCTGAAAAAATAGTCACTGAAAAACTATGGAGCACAGTTCTGAGTTAAACCTACGGAGCACAGTTTTGAGTTAAACCAACAGCAAATAATTTTTGTTTAGCTTTTCCATATACATATTTGTGTGAGGCCAGAATTTCTTCAATTACTTCAGCATAACAATATGCTGGACAGACTGAACAAAGAAGATTGAAAAATGGGGAATTTTTAAACCTCGTTCAGTATCACACAGTCAATAATTTGCAAAAATTTGTCTTAAAAGTCTGTATTCTCAACCAATCCAATATAATGCCTCTCTTAGGAAATGTGGTTCTAAGTGAATTGGCTTGATCTTAGGGATTGGTGAGGGAAGCAGAGTAAAAATACAGAGAAATTCCAGTAGTCCTCACTAGCCTTAACCCTAATAATAAGAAAAATGTCTCTTATTTTCCCACAGGCATATTAGATGTTATACAGAGAGATACTGTTGCAAGAATCTTTAAGCTATATATAGTGGTTAAATAACCCAATATTGCAAAGTGAGTATAAAATTAAATGTCACTGGAAGTAAATAAAATAGGACTTTTAAGAGGAAAGATCAAGAAAAGACCAGATTTAGAACTGGCCTGCAGATATCTAAAGACCACATTTTGATTTTTTTGTTTTTGTTTTATGCTCATTCTTATAAGCAAAAAAAGTGTCCTACTTTTATAGAATTAAAAATAGAAAAATTCATGTTTTAAAAATTATCAAAATAGCAGATAACTATATAAATCACTGAAAGAGTGTATCCTTTCCAATGGATTTACTACCTAGTAACTGCTCATAATTCACTTAATGATCAGTTAACAGATCATTAAGTATTTGACAAAGCAGGTAGGGAGAAAAGAACTTGTCAGTTAAAGAAGTGTTAGGAAGCATTGCTAACTGTGAATCACTAAAATACATAGAGCAAAACTTTTCTTTATTAGGAATGAATCATGCCTGACTATTTGTTGATCAATAAGATATATCTTATACATCGCAAAGCAGAAACACATTATAAATAAACTCTTCAACTTAATTGGAATATCACTTAAAATTTTATAGTCTATGAGAAAGTAAAGTAGACTACGGGAGAGTCAAGAAAAATAAAGGAAATATATTCCAGTCCCAATTAAATGATTTTAAATGGAAATTCTACCTTTTTCTTTTTATTGTACTTTAGAATAGAGTTTACAGAGCAAATTAGTTTCTCATTGAACAGTTAATACACATATTGTTTTGTGACATTGGTTGCCAACCCCACGACAAGTCAACACTCTCCCCTTCTCAACTTAGGTTCCTCATTACCAGCTTTCCTGTCTCCTCCTGCCTTCTCGTCCTTGCCCCTGGGCTGGTGTGCCCATTTACTCTTGTTTTGTTTTATGGGTTTGTCTAATCTCTGGCTGAAGGGTGAAACCTCAGGAATGACTTCAGTACTGAGTTAAAAGGGTGCCCAGGGGCCATACTCTCAGGGTTTCCAGGCTTCGTAAGACCAGTAAGTCTGGTCTTTTTTGTGAGTTAGAATTTTGTTCTATATTTTTTTCTAGCTCTGTCCAGGACCCTGTATTGTGATCCCTGTCAAAACCGTCAGTGGTGGTAGCCAGGCACCATCTAGTTGTGCTGGACACAGTCTGGTGGAGGCGGTGGTAGTTGTGGTTCATTCTGGACTAATCTTTCCCTTGTGTCTTTGGTTTTCTTCATTATCCCTTGCTCCAGACAGGGTGGGACCAGTGGAGTATCTTAGACGGCCACTCACAATCTTTTACGACACTAGATGCTACTCACCAAAGTAGGACGTAGAACATTTTCTTTATAAACTATGTTATGCCAGTTGAGCTAGATGTCCCCTAAGACCATGGTCCCCAGCCCTCAGCCCAATAGTTCAGTCCCTCAGGGAGTTTGGATATGGCTATGAAGCTGGAAATTCTACCTCTTGGTGTGGTTATTTGAACAAGATATTTAGAAATCACTGGTGATCTTTTACCTGCAATTGTCAATGTGATTTTTGTCCACTGCCTTAGATGGTATAAACGATCCCCAGTTATTGATCTCTATAACTTTTATGCAGCCAGTAAAATTCTTGATTGGTCCAGAAATCTAAGAAAAACAGAAGGAGAGAAAGCGGAAGAAGGAGAGTGAGAGAAAGACAATTTATATGATTTTCTTTAATGTATTTTCCTCGCAGCAAATTGGCCAGTGTGTGCTATTGGATTGAGGAGCTGATTTGATTTATTCAATGTATTGATAGTACAGTAATTCATTTCATATACAGCACTTGAAAAATTATAGAAAAAAGTACCACACAACTAATCAAAAATTATCTGGAGTCTGTATGTTCTTATTACTGTACAAATTACTCACATTCACTTATAAATGAGTAGAGGAAATTTAATATAGCCGAAAGTTTTTATAATTACAGTGATTTATCAATGAAAAATAGAAACAAAAAGCTGATACACTCATCCTTCCCATCAAGACATCGCACTTTTCCATCTTTTCCCTCTATTCTTTGCCTTTTTTTTTCTTTCAGACACCAGTTACATAGATGTTTCATCTGCAGCTATTCAAACATCAGGAAATATTGCTCATTCAGGGGCAAAGGAAACACAGGAGAAGCTAGAAATATTTGTGATATCCTGCAGCCCTGATGCTGTCTGTGTGTCCTTTGTGTTAGTTGTGTGGTCTATGCCCCTTAGGAATACCTTAGGCAAACGGCATCTAGAAAGATTGCCAAAGAGTCAAGAACAAAAAAGAGAAGATAGGGACATTGGAAAACACTTATTTTAATGAACAAAAATAACTTCTTAAAGATGAACAAGCCTATGGTTTTTCAATCTTTTCACCTTGAGCAAACAATAAAAACTAGTTACCATCAAATGGATTCCAACTCATGGTGACCCCATGTGTGTCAGAATAGAACTGTGCTTCATAGGGATGATCTTTCACAAGTTGCCAGGCCTTTCTTCTGAGGCATCTCTAGGTGAACTCGAACCTCTAACTTTTTCTTAGCATTTGAGCTCATTAATTGTTTGTACCACCCAGGTACTCCTGAATAAACAATATTATACCAGTAATTTAATGTCTACTAAAATTTGCATTTATGTGGAAAAGAGAAATAAAAATTAGAAAGGAGCACAGGTCAAAATTCAATAGTTAGAAATAAACATTCTTTTCAGATTCTTTCCTCTGTTAGGATTTCAATACTATTAAAAATTTCAAGCTAAGATGGACCACCAGGATAACTACTAAATTTACACACTGACAAATAAGTTACCTAACTTGATACTTGAATTAAGAATAGACACTATTCGTATTTTCAAGACTTGTTTTCTCATTGACTATAGTGTTGCAAATAAATAAATGATATGATAATTTAGTTGCCTTGTTTTTTAGATCTAGAGTGAATATATTTTATCTCATCTTTTAACACATAGTCTCAGTTTTAAAATCTTAATTTTTTTCTTCTTCTTCCTGATACAGGCTCAGATGTACTGCAAACCCTCTCAACAAGTAATACTCTGTCAAAAGTCAAAATGATTAAACTAGAAAATAAAACAATATTTCACAGAGTAAGTTTACAAAGAAGTCAAGTTGATTCAAAGGAACACAGAAACATTTGACTCTTTACGTGCTTCAGACAGGAAACTATTGATTTGTAATTGTTAGCTTAAAGTTCTTATGGGCTTCATTAATCTTTTAGTTTCTTTAACTTTTATTTTTATCACAGTTATACATGAACCTAGTTTATTTTTAAAGTAAAGTGTATATCTATCTATCCTGAAACATCACAAACTTGCAAATTAGTACAATTTATAATTAACAAATTAAATATAAAATGAAGTGGTCATAGAAGAACGCTTTTGATTATAATGAATATGAAGGTGAGAATTTTATTTTGACATAGTTTGACATAGTTCAGCAAGGCATAAAAGTACATGTGTATTTAAATAAATATTTTTCTCTATTCATGAAGATTCTTACTATATTTGAGGATAGAGATTAAGGAGAAATTTACAGCTTATTAAATAAATACCAGATCACCAGAGAGCTATGAAAAGTGCTCTAAAAAGGAAATGGTTCTGTGACTATGCTACTGAGATACTTCTTAGAATTTTACGGTTTGATTTCATTCACCTATTCTTAATTTTTAAAAATAAACATTAATTTATTTTTTGGAAAAATAGTAAGAAATTTTCTACAGCATTAGCCTTTAAATTTGAATGGATTCAAAATTCTTTCACTTCCTATGTTTTAATAGACTTCCATCCCTCCAATTCTCTCACGCATTACTTCTGGCAGTCTTGTTTAGGATGAGTTAATTGTTCTCCACAACAAATTCGCATTAAGTTCATTTTCACTTTGAATATTGTCTTTGTCATCTAGTGCTGCTACAACAGAAATACCACAAGTGGATGGTTTTAACGAAGCGAAGTTTATTTCCTCATAGTCAAAGTAGGCTAAAAGTCCAAATTCAGGGCATCAGCTCCCGGGGAAGCCTTTTTCTCTCTGTCGGCCTTCTCATCAGTGTTCCCCCACGCTAGGAGCTTCTCGGCGGCGCAGGGACCCCGGTCCAAAGGACGCGTGCTGCTCCCGGCACTGCTTTCTTGATGGTATGAAGTCCCCCAGTCTCACTGCTCACTTCTTTTATATCTCAAGAGATTGCCTCAGGACACAATCCAGTCTTGTAGATCAGGTCCTGCCTTACTAACACAACTGCCACACACCCTCCCTCATTAACATCATAGAGGCAGGTTTACAACATACAGGAAAATCACACAGTACCAAGAATCATGGCCTAGCCAAATTGATACACACATTTTGGGGGGGACATAATTCAAACCATGACAAATACGGAAATACTATTTTGCAAAAAATAATTGAAACTTGAACCCAGAAAGGTAGAGCCTGAATACTAAACAGCGAGCACATGGTGTTTGGAAACTTCAGTGTTGGGAAACTTCTTGAATTTTCTTAGTTTAGAATAATCTGGTTAATTAGGTTTCTGAAACACAATTCCTAAAAGTAAAAGGGAAATGTAGCCCACATAATTAACAAAAAAAGTTATAACGTAACACTATATGATAGATTTAAGAAACAATGAAAAATCCACACTAGATTATAGGAACGGTACTGTTTCATATTATGTTCATTGAATGAAAAAAAATTGTACTGGCGTGTGCTGCTATGATTTCTGAAATCCAGTTCTTACTTTTATCCAAGACAAATCATGAAATAATGACTCCCAGTTATTTCCTCACAGCAACAACAATATATAATTCATAATATTAAGTAATAATAACAAAAGAGTTCTCAATTTCTTCATTTCAAACCTGAGTTGTCTCAAAGTTCTAAATAAATCTTCAATATTTTTTTCAACCTTAATACTAACAGAAAAATATGTCATTTTGTCTCTGGCATTTCATGGAACTTTCAAAGAAAGGGAATAGAGGAGGCAGGTGTTGTGTCATGCTAGACGTTTGAATATATTTCTGTTTGTATTAGTTTCCTATTGCTGCTGTAACAAATTAATACTTAAAACAATAAAAATTTATTATCTTCTTGTTCTGGGGAGATCAAAAGTCTAAAATAGGCCAGTAGGGCTATGTTCTTTTTGGAGCCTATGGGTTAGAATTTGTCTCCTTGCCCATTTCAGCTTCCGGAAGCTGCCCTCATTCCTTGTCTCATGGCCCTGAATCACTGCTGCCTGTGCTCACATCATCATATTGCCTTGTCTGACTCTAACCCTCCTGCCTCCCTTTTATAAGGACCATAGTGATTACACTGGGCCCACATGTATAATACAGGATAATCTCCCAACTTCAGCATCCTTAATTCAATCACATCTGCAAAGTCTCTTTTGCCATGCAAAATAACATTTCTCAGGTTCTAGGAATTAGGAGGTAAACATCTTTGGTCAGCAATTATTTGGTCTACTATACTCTTTATTCTCATATTTAATCCATAGTTTAACTGAGGATAGAATTCCAGGTCATAAATAAATTTTCTCCAGAATATTAAATATTAATGCATTATTCTATTTTTTTCTAGTTCTACATGTTGCACCGTAGAAGTCTGGTGGCATTGTGTTTCCTAACTCTTTGTGTGATTTTTTTTTTTCTCACTCTGAAAGTTCTTAGAATTTTCTCTTTATCCTGAGATTTCTGAAATTTCTAATAATATGTATTCATATTTTAATTCTATTTTAATTCATTATTCAGGTGAATAATAAATTAGAAATATAACTTGAGACTTGGAATAATGTTTGAATTATATTCTTGATGATTAATTTCTTTCCTTTTACTTTATTCTTCATTGAAGAAAGTATTATTTGTATAATGGACCACCTGGAATGATTCTCTAGTTTCCTTTTTCTTCTCTTTATTTTACGAGTTCAGCTGCTAATCAAAAGGTCGGCTGGAATCCATCATCCGCTCCTTTGAAACCCTATAGGGCAGTTCTACTTTGTCCTATAGGGTCGTTATGAGTCGGAGTCAACTCAACGGCAATGATTTTTTTTTTTTTTTTTGATGACAGTCCCTGAAATGTAGTATCTTCCAATTCTTCTATTGAACGTTTTACTTCAGCTATCATATTTTTAATTTATTATATTCTTTTTTTGTTCTCTCTCTCTCTTTTTTTTTTTTCCTCTATTGCATGGATGAAATATCTTTTATTCTGTTTCTGGGGATATTATTCATACTTTACAAAAGATTACTTCTGCCTCTTACCTGGTCATTATTCAAGTTCTCTTTTCTGCTTTCCCCCCCTCTTTCTTTTTGATCTTTGTCTCATATGTGTCACACTTTCCCTGTGTGTTTAGTAAGACTTGTCTTTCCTTTGGTATTTAAAAGTGAGATAGATAAAAGGGAATTGAGAACTCTGTGTGCATATGTGGGTTTATTGACTCCACAGCAAAAGGTTTGATTCAGGTTTTAGGTTTTACTGTTGAATGAACTGGGCTATTTTGGGGGGGAGTCCTCCAAACAGCAGTATTTAAGACTTATCTTCTTCAATGTGCAGATTCTCCATCATGAAATGCTGGAAAGTAAACCTTTAGTGTTGTGCCAAGGTGTGAAACTAGTGCCTATTGCATATGA